ATTAACATCAACATAGTTTACTCTGTTTGAATGATAACATATTTCCATCTAATGAAGTCTGAATTGATGAATTTGCTTAGTTTTTTTTTTTTTTTAAATGGCTTTTTTCCTATAACTTACTATCTTTTAGATTATCATCTGTGGAAGACAGATCATCTGTAGTTACTTGTCTCAAAGCATAGAACTAAAAGTCGTTCAGCATTACATTGGTCAAGATGGGCAAGCTGTAGTTCGAGAACATTTTGACTGCCTCACAGCCAAACAGAAATTGCCTTCATACATACTAGAAAATAGTGAGCTGACAGAGCTGTGTGTGAAGGCCAAAGGAGATGAAGACTGGTCAAGAGATGTGTGCCTGGAATCCAAAGCCCCCGAGTACAGCGTTGTCATTCAGGTATGAGAAGAAGTTCAATCTAGAATGGAGCACCTTTCACAATGAAATTTTCTCAAAATGTTCTATACTTGTACAGCACTTAATTTATTAAAAAGTGATATATACAAAAGGAGGGAGATCTGAAATAATACAGAAAGGCTTTGAATGGTACTTCTCAAACTGTTTCCTCCCCATCCCATGACAATACATTTGTATCAGTTCCAGTAGTTCTTACAGCCAAGACGCTGTCCCTGCGAGATGCATGTGATATCTTGAAAAAGATTCTGATGCCCCAGGGTTAGCAGTGGGGTGGGACTGTGGGGGTGGTATCCTCCTCACTTAAGGATCTTTGTGATGGTCTGTTACTTTATCTCTTCCGAAGTCTTTACCATCATCACTTTCATTCCCATAAAGGATAAATTCTGTTTCATTCTGCCACTTAGTCTTATATCAGTCTCTCCTTACACAAATCTCTTTGTCTTTATGGAAAGAGTTGGCCCCATTGACTCACTGCACATTTGCTTTATGCCATAACGAAGTCTGTTTTTGCTTAGTTTTTTTTTTTTTAAATAATGGCTTTTTTCCTATAACTTTAAACTCTTTTTAATCTTCCAAACTGATATATCTGTGCCTTATTTTGATTAATTAGTGAGCTGCTTAGTATTTAATAGGATCCTTTTCTGTTTCATGTGCAGGTGCCATCTTCAAACAGTTCCATTATTTATGTCTGGTGCACAGTTTTGACTTTAGAACCCAACTCTCAAGTGCAACAACGAATGGTGAGTGCTTTCCCAATCCTAAAATATGGTATATGACTCTGACCTTTCCTGTTCTGAAATAAATTAAGGTCAGAGTGACCCAGGGAAGAGATTTATTACAAGTTTGTTTCAGCATCAAACAGCTGGAATACTGCAACAAAGCAAATATGAAAGTTGTTCTGTCCTTTTATTTTTATAGATTGTGTTCAGCCCTCTTTTTATCATGAGGAGTCATCTTCCAGACCCCATTATCATACATTTGGAGAAAAGGAGTCTGGGATTGAGTGAAACACAAATTATTCCAGGAAAAGGGCAGGAAAAAACACTGCAAAACATAGAACCTGACCTCGTACATCACCTGACATTCCAAGCAAGGTACTAGAAAAGTCCTTCCATACATTTTCCTAAGAGAAATTAAGTAGAAAAGTAACCTTGCACTGAGGAGAGGGCAGGGGAGTGGGAGGATGGGGGTGGAGGGAGTTTTCTATATGATTTCTTATCATATGAGAATGTTATTTTAAAATGCCCTGCCTAGTGATCTCTTATTCTCATCTATAGTTTTAGATAAAAATCAGCCTTTCTCATTAAGCTTAGAAATAACCAAGAGGGATCATCAGAAATTTTATTTTAATTTAGATTTCATTGACACGTGATTTCTGTAGTAAAGGAGATGTGAATAGAGATCTACACCTAGGAATTGAGGGGTGGGGAAGAAAGAGGAAAAGTCAGGGCCCAGTTCATCCAAATGCTGTCCCATAAATGGACTCAATCTACCAAAAAGGTGT